AAAATTACGTTCGTCACTTTTTTCGCCAAATAAGACTTTCAATCGCCAGACTACTAATTTGTTCGCCATTGGCGAATTGGCGAGTGGGTAGCGAGGGCCCTGCTACAGCATTGTGGGATACCTAACTGGGTAATACTAATATGTGACGGGATAACATGCATTATATCAGCAGATATTATATGAGTTGATACTTTATGAAGTCATGTCTTTTATTATTATAAACGTGTATGAATTATCAGAAATTAAAAGACTCATCCAACCAGATATTAATCTTCGGAAAATGAAATGTTTTCCTCTGTAGTATCTTTATTGTTATACATGTGTAGCAGCTAGAAAATTTGTTCCCGTTAACAGATGAACGAAGAAAGAAGAAGAAACGCAAGTTGAAAGCAAAGAAAATAGCTAAAAGAGACAAGGGGCCAGAGAAAGAGAAGGTGAAGGAGAGGAAAGCAGCTACCGTACTGGAGGAACCCACAGGTCTGTTTAATCAATTTCATGAAGAGGGGATATCTCTTCTTACTCTTAGGCAAACACAGACAGGCACGGTCAATGCTCCAAGGAACGTGCGCGTTGTATCTTGCTATGTTCCTAACTTTGAGTCACGTGAGCATCATGAAAACTTTTCGGATTGTTTTCCCAGAGAAAATTGGTCCTGAAGACTTCTACAGAAAGAATGAAGAGTTTAGACTGTGGCTGAGGAGCAAGGTAATAGTACTAAATGAACACTTGGACTGCTGATCCTATATCTGTCCTGCTAGAGTAGCTCTTATATTTTTCCATAATGTATTGATCCTTCACAATTGGAGTGGTATTTTGTGTGAATGAAGAGTTTTGTACATACATAGATTTATATATGGATAGAAAGAGAAATGGCAAATATCGATATAGGATAGTATTCAGATAGAGAAAGGAGGTGTGTGTGTGCGTGCATGCATGCGTGCGTGTGTTTGCACACATAGGTGCACACTTGCACCTATGCAGGCAAATGTAAGAGGATGAGAAAGATAAGGAAAGAGGAAGACACTGAGAGAGAGAGAAAGAACAAGTGAGATAACAAGAAAAAGAGAACGGAGTTGGTATCTCGAATCGTCCACCAGGAAGAAGCAATATCTTACGAAATATGAATATTCATATTCACGCATAAATGATGGTCTGTCTAATGCGACACCTGTGTTAGTGAGATTGCGAGTCGGAGAAAAATGGAATCGATCACGGGCCCGGAGTTTATGTCCAGACCATTGAATTCACTCTGCAACTGAGACCTGCGCCTGCATCCTCTGTCTTTTGCTTGCCGGGGAACGCTGGGTTTAGCAGTTTGTTTGAAAATGTTGACAGCCCAGCCCTGATGCATATGTGGTTACCCATGAGAATCCGTTCAAGAGTTGTCGAAGATACAGAACAGACGGTGGCACAGCACTGTGCGTCTGCCATATGCCCTGATAATGTTCGATATGATCGGTGACCAATCAGGAATCGGTGTTGAGGAGGTATTCAAGTGAGTTCGAAGGATAGACAAATAACAAAAAGAAGCGCCTGAATGATGTTATCAAAACGGAAGCTTGAAGACGTTTGCAAACCGGCCATCGGCCTCGAGTTAAGATGAGAACCAAGCAAATAGTCAAAGCATCAAGACACAGAAAAGGAAGGTTTGGGTCAGTCACAGAAGGATAGTTGCGGATATTGCTCGAGTCCGGTGTGATGCATGCTTATGTGTTCTCAACACGACCTCGTGGTGTCCTCCTCAGTTACCCTATTGATGGACGATGGGTTTATGAAGAAACCCCTAAGAGCTGGAACTCGACAATACGAACTTCGAAAAATATAACTGACCCCGTGCTGATTACTCTATAGCTCCGTTCTCAGGTGGACGGCAATGCCGAAGCTGCATACATTTTGCGAGTTCCGCTGGCCTTTGTAGATGAATGGCAGATGTGAGAAAATTAGGAACGTCGTCATGAGAACATTGTGGAGATTTCTGTGAGGTATTCTTGAAAACCTCAATTGGCTTGCCAGTTGTCAATTGCCCAGCCGTATCGACTGTTGTTTTCTGAATGCCGTTAACATTCGAAGGATCTGTCCCGAGGACATGTGAACCGAAGACGGAGGATCAAGACGACCTAGTCCGATCGAGCTACAGTAATGCTCAGATCCTAGACTAAACTTGGCCTTTAAATGAAATTGAAGCTCTGGCATCCAGCGAAAGCAAACTAAGGCTAGACTGAGAGAACTCTGCTGACTAAGGTTTCTGATTGAGCCGAATTCCTACAGCGAGTCCCTGGTGTGGTAAATTGTAGTTAGCCAAATTGAATGGGAGCAGCAGTGTCTAGCGAAGACAGTATATCCATTCGGGATTACAATTCAACGAATACAATGAAACTCGATCGTATTCTGGAACAAGTCGGATGTTCGAATCCATGCCCCATGTTTTGCATGCCATCAGATCGTGTCAAGAGGATTGTCGCCTGCCTGTCACATGACACTGATGTGTTTGGGCGTGTTACAGTTGTCAGGCCAGACCCTCTTTTAAAAACGTGCATGGGTATGAGTGAACTTCGTGATACGAGAAGGCACGGTGCTAGGGGACAGTATGCCAGGTACATCCCAGTACATGTATTGGCAGCACAGCAGTGGCTCGAAGTTATGTGATGTACTGCCCAGCCGTCATTCGTGTGACTGGATGTGACATCACTAAGCAAATTGCACCAAATTGGGCAGCTTGCTCAAATGCGTAACCCAATAGCCACCAAAGTCGTCGCGAGAGCAATTAAAATATGCCGGCGGCGTTCTGGTGAATGCTGAGGGCGATGCCTCTCGGGTAGCCGAAGCCGACCCTAGGGGGGGGGGGTCTGGGGGCATGCCTCCCCGTGAAAATTTTCAAAATCTACAAGGCAAATGGTGGGCTCTGGTACATTTCTGAGCATTGTGATTTAGCCACCAAAAGTGTTCACTGTAATTTTAGGAAAAATACATGATTGATTACCAAGATCTTGTTGCTTAACATAGAATTAAATACCCCTTCACTTAATGCAAAAACTCCAAATAATTTTTCTCACTTTTAACTAGTGGAATAATCTTGGGTACCAGACTTGTCCTGAATACATTCCGCCATTCCAAGATATTTAATTGCATACAATTGTACTGTGCTCACATTTTAACGAACTGCAAAATTCGTTCAGTGAAACGCGCTGACCCTCGGCAACAAGCATGCTCCCTCACTATTAGACGCAATCGCATGCCTGCTGCATTAGAATCAGGAGTAGACGGTTAAGCAAGAATGTGTGCAGAGTGCTGATCATAAAAATTGTATAGCTACAGGTGATCCTGCAGGGGCGGCCGTGTACAGGTTTGACCAGGGGGGGGTCTTACACCGTAAGACATAGCGCCAGCTACAAAGTTAGTCTTCCTTTGAATTTATTGGGAATGTTTCTTTTAGGTTTAACCATTATTCCGTAACGTTCTAATAACGTGTTTTAGGAAGTTTTCCATGACATTCTGAGAACGGGGTTTTTTGCCACGCGAAGGGGTTTGGGCCCTCCCCCAGAAAAATGCTTGAACTATAAGACCCCTGCAGATGCGTTTTCTGCGCGGGCATGAGGGGTCCGGACTCCCCTAGACCTCACCTCTGTAGCCCAGTCGGCTCCTGACCTGACCTTCATCTGACGCTGGTCTCCTGCTTAATAGGGCCTAATTACACGTATAGACATGATATCAGGAGTAAGATAATATCAGGGATCCTTATTATTAATCTTACTCCTGAACTGATATGATGGTTACCGGCCAAACGACGGTTATGTAAAATTAGTTGGAAATTTTGGTTAGTCGGAAAATTTATCGGCCCTGAAACCAAAGTGCCTGCGCGGTCGCTCGGGCTGGCTGCGCGGCAGGTTTCCGACGCACCCCACACCTCAAGGACTTCGGGAAAACTCGGCACATTGTTGCTAGCTGAATCGCAGAACTATATCTGGTCCAGGGTCTGAAACTGGTGACCATACTATACAAAGATATGGATGAATTACGACATACGTGATACCACCCACAGCAATCTGTGTACCGTTCTGGACTGCCGAACCTGGACTAGCCCACGCAGCTACAGGATCATATTCTCAGAGCTTTTTAACTCGGCACCTATAGTCAAGATGAATCTGTTTGAGTGCCCTTACTCTGAAGCCTACAGACTTTGAATTCGAAATCAGACTGAAGTCTTTTGCTTGTTCCAGGAGGTTCTTATCTACCTTTGGCGGACAGACTTTTACAGTTGTGTGTTCCCTGTGTTGAAGTGTTCTACGAGCAAGGTGCGTCTGTGTCATACAAAATGGTGCCAAGTGTTAGCGAATTTTACAATGGCCGTAGACCGAACAAGTCAATGGACTGCAGAAACGCCAATTGTATCCTTAAGGACACAGTGATCAAGTATGTATAAAGTTACCGTTACCATAATATCATGTATACTTGTAAATTCTGCAGTATTATAGCGATATGTGAAAAGTTGTCATAGAATGATGTCATATTTGGCCCTGCCATCTTAGCTTTGGATGGTGATGCAGTGCGTTTTGAATCTGGTTATTTGAGTCTCAGTTGGATAACCTGACCGCCTAAAACATAGGGATAGACAGCTCGAAAAATCACGGTCTATCTATAGTTCTGCGAGAAGTTTTATAGCGCGTTTATAATGATTCGTGTTCCTTTCGACGCCATTCTTAGATTTTGAAACAATGATTGCAATGCACATTTCGGTACGGGTATTAGTTTCTAATGTATAGCCAGCCCATAAAATAAGTGGATAGAGCACCAAGATCAACCCTACGCCACTTACATCACTAAATTGGTGGCAAGTTATGGTCAATATACATTGAATTGACAAGCCATCTTAGACAGCGTCCAATACATGAATCTTTAGTCACCTATCCTTCTCATGCATCAGACATGTCTACCCAAGTCATTTTTTTACCTCCCAGTGGTGTCCCTACATGAATCAAGCGTCAAACTCGGGGACATCTATACATCACCACAGGACCTTCCCGCCAGCTGATAGATTATATGCGCCGCTACGAGCAGGAGCGTAATCATTTAGACGTTACTGGTTCGTACACTCAGGATATCGATTGAGCCCATGAGCGAGAGCCCATCTGTCGTGAGTTAAGCAACAATTAGCTACAACGGAAGCGTCGCACCCGGTCTGCGAAGTTTCCTTTATTTTACACTAGCGACACTCACGTGCTGATGCGCGTCACTAGAGCGAATTTGAGCAAATCGAACACTAGTTCAACTTGTGGAGCATTCTTACATTCTGGATTAACTAATAAATTTATATAAGTAGGGGCTAATATGAGCTATTATAAGCATGAATAATATCAAATAATACATGTACAATCTATTCTTAGCATTTGTTTGACTATGAGTGTTTTGAACAACGTTTATTGGAAATTACCGCTTGTGTACTTACAGATCAACCCACAGTAGTAATTTATGTGATACTAGGCTGGCATCGAGCTATCAGAGTTTTCAGCACATTCGAAGCCCAGAGGAAAATCTATGATAAGGTCTCTAGTTTCAATAGGTAACAAAAGCGTGCATTAATGATGATAAACACTAAAGAAATAATTAAAGCTAACAATAACAAATAATGATGTATTTTATGGTATTATATAGATTATAATATATATATGTATCAGTTTTTATATGAATTCAATAGTATCACTTCTGTC